GAGGTAATCATCCTCCCGTACATCACAGTTCCATCCATGAGCATTGAAGTAGGCAATCTTGACCAAAACTGTAAGCAGATGAAAGTCAACCTTGATCTGCTTGAAGAAGAACGAGAAAATGCCATTGTTCGAGTTGCAGCTTACCAGTAGCAGCTGACTTCTTACTACAACAAGAAGGCCAAGATCATACAATTTCAATCTAGAGACCTTGTGCTTAGAAAAAACTTTCATCACAGCACCAAGGCAAGGGTCGAAGAAGATGAAGCCCAACTGTGAAGGCCCCTACATGATCCACCGGTCTAGGGGTAGAGAAAGCTATACCCTCGACACCTTAAAGGGGAAGGAAATTCTGAGACAATAGAATGCCCACCACTGTAGGAGGTATTATATGTGAAGCTCCTAACTGACTAGCTTAGCTCCAAGCCTCCCTCACCTCCGTTGAAGACAAGTTACTTTCGATGTTGTCACACCAACATTAATACAAGTTCAAGCTTTTCTTTCAATGGAGTATCTTATGAGAGCTATTGACATGCCTCCAGACATAGGCCAAATGGGCCACCCTCATCTACATATCTCTAGACATACACTTACGGGAGCTATCGACATGTCTTCGAACATAGCCAAAAAAGCTACTCCCATGAGAGCTATCGACATGTCTCTAGACATAGGTAGAACGGGCTACTCTCATCTACATGTCTCTAGACATACACTTACTAGAGCTATCGACAACTTTCTGGACATAGGGCAAACGAGCCACTATCATCTACATGTCTCCGGACATACACTTACCGTAGCTATCAGCATGTCTTCGGACATAGGCCAAACGGGCCCCTTACAAAGATTCAACTGCTTCTACATCCACAGCATTGATCTGCTCACCTTGAGCAGGAGGCACGTCAAGGTAGAGCAGTTCAGCATCTTCATCTTCGATGGGGCAACAAGAAGAAGCACCGTTACTGCAGTCCAAGTATCCCAGCTTTTACGCATTATTAGCAATCTCATCCTTGGACACCTCCATGCCTTCAACATGGGTGTCAAACTTGATCATCAGCTTGTCACAGTTTTGGGCTAGAACGGCATACTCATGTTCGAGGTGAAAGTAGGCCTCTTTGTGGTCGAGCAGGGTAGCAACAAGATACTTGAGCTCACAATCTTTTTGGCCAAGAGAACTCTTCAGTGCATACATACTCTCCTTCATCTTAGACATACTCTCCTTCATCTCGTTCGAGAGCTTGTTAGTCATATCAGTATTCTTCTTTGTTCAAGAGCTTGTCAATCAGATCAAGATTCTTCTTCGTCAGCTCATCGAGCAGAGCAGAAAAGGGGGAAACAACAAACGAGTTCCGCATGACCCCAACAGCAAAAACCATCTCCTTTTGAAGAGGATACATGGCAGCTTCTTCTTGCTTATTTAGGGAAAGGCTCAAGAAAGTGTCAAGGGCGCTAGCCTGATGTATATGGTCAACCAGCTTGGCACAAGCAGATAGACTTGACAGGAAGTTCGTTTTGAGCAGATCAGACAGATGCTCATCCCTATCAGAGCTATCACCAGCTCCCGGACCAGCAGTTCGCGCAACTGAATGACTCTTTGCTCGAGTATATGACTCTCTAGCCCTCTTGACCACAGCCTACAATACTAAATCAGCACATCCATATGCCACATATGATCGCCTTGACTCAGACTATCAAAAAGCTTGACGCGAACTTGAGCATACTTCTCGCAACGTCTCACCTCGAAGAAGTAAAAGAATTCCCACACTATCAAATCCAGCTTGAAGAAGCGGCTATGACTTTCATTGTTGCTTTCATTGAATTAGAGCAGCTTGAAGCAACCTAGGCAAAAAAAAAGCCCAGCGTGCTTCTAGCTCCAGTGCGTGTGCCAGCCCAGCTCGCGCTTGCCCCAGCCCAACTCATGCCTGCTCCAGCCTGGCCCAGCTCGCGCCAACTCCAGCATGAGCCTCGCCTACTCACCCTAGTGCGAGTCTCAGGCCCACGACAAGCACCTGAACCCAGCGTGCCTCAGCCCCAGCTCACCCTAGTGCGAGCCTCGCCTACTCCTACCCACATGATTACTTAGGCTTATCCTCTCCTCCTCGCTGCCAAAAATCAAAGAGCAGAATTATATGTTTGAAGGCTCAAGTTAATCTACCTTGGGGTGCACTCTTCTCCATGACAAGCGATGCAATCTTCCAAGAACTCTCTCACTCACAAAAAATGGGGGAAGAGACTTTGCAATTTGAAAAGAAGTAAGGAGGAGCCCTATATTTAAAGTAGCTGAGGTTCCTTGACCTACAAGGAGCCCTAAGCCCATTCCAACTGGGAACCCAATTTCAAAAAAATTAGCAAGTCAAAGACCTCTACCACTCAGAAGCCCAAGTCACAAAAGGAAGCCGAGTTGCAATTGGACAGCCCAACCATTAATTCACACCTCCATGCTACCATGTGCCATGTAGAAACTGGGAGACATTTGTGGAAGCAAATATTTACAGATCCTAGGTCAAATAATTAATCCAATCAATTTGAGAATTATTTGACTAAATTAGGGATCCTTACCATAATTGTGGATTTGATTTTAATCAAATCCCTAATTAACTCAATCTCTCCAAATTAGGGGAGAATAATTCCTTTCCATGTGTGGAATTATTTTCTCACAAATCCTAGCCGTCACTCTCTCTCTCTCTCTCTCTCTCTCTCTCTCTCTCTCTCTCACACACACACACACACACACAAGGCTCTGGCCACCCGGTTCACCCCGAGAGAAATCTCCGTACACTTTGTTAGCTACTGTTTCTCCTATACACAGTTGACCTAACATAGGCATTGGAAGGTCTTTGGCCAACACCCCCGGGGTGTGGTATTTTTCACTCCGTGTTGTTTTGTGGGGAGAAAGAGAAGCGAAGAGGAATAAGGGATCTTGAGACGAATATTCCCTAGGGAGGAAAATCACTCCCACAAGTACCGTAGGTGACCACTCATATCTCTCGTTTGAACATCAACACAAGGGCAGATTTATGCCTAGACTGGGGTGGGCTCCAGCCTAGGGGAAGATTTCTAAATATTAAATATGATTTAAATTTTATAAGTTTATTCCTACTCCAATAAATATTAGCCCACTGCACCAAATAAATATAATAAACTAATAATAGCCCAATCTAAGTAAAGTAAATAATAGCTCAATCCTCTAATTAAAATAAGCCTCACTTCTGAAGCATATAGGAAATAATAAACATCAATCCAAACCTTTATAAATTTGATTAGAAGCAAAACTCACGCCAAGACTATACCAACTTGAGCTATTCTAATGGTATTGATGTTGGGCTACACCCACAGAGAGCAAACACAAAAGATTTCTTCTAGCCACCCAAAATGCCATATTTGAACCTTGAGAGCCTAGAGGAAATAGCTCTCCTCCTCTAAAAAAATTGTACCAATCTATCTTCAGTGGGTTCTTTAATCCTAGTAAGTTTTTCTTTTATATATATATATATTCAATTTCCAATTTTAATTGTTGTTGTTAAGTTTTTGTGATTTAGGGTTTGGGTGAAATTTTTTGGAGATTGTTGATACATGTTTTATTTTTGCAACTTGAATTATTAATTAGCATATATGTTTTTTGTTGTCTAGTATTTCTTGTTAGGATATCATGTCACATGATGATAATAGACCGACAAAGAGAGGAAAAACTATTTATTTATTCTTCAAAAAAAGTGGTAACGATAACAAGGATACACCTTCTACTTCTAATGTTGATACTTCAATTCCTGAGAAACTTTTTGAACTCAGATCTCAAGTAGTTGAACCTAAAGAGTTTGATATTGCTTCTTTAGAACAGGATCCTTGGAAACGCATTCCAATTTGTGAACACCCAATCAATCAACGTGATGAGATTCGAAGGGCAAGCTCTTTAAATTTTTTTGCCATCGAACATATTTTTTGAAGTTGGACAATGTGTTTAATTTGATATTTATTTATATTTTGTACTTTTTGGTGTTATATTTGCTTGTAATGTGACTTTGTTTGATTTATAAAATTTTATTTACATTTTTGTTTCAAGAAAAAAGGCTTATAATATATCTCCTCTAGAAAAAAAAAATTATTTAGCCTATCCCTATAAAAATTCCCGGATCCGCCATTGCATCAACACACATAAAATAAAAGAGGTAGGTTATATTCATAGAAGCATGATTAAGAACGTTCATGACCAATTCATAGGCAGATTTGACACTTATTGGGTCCTCCCTAAATGCACCCTCCCCACTTAATCTCCCTAGGTCATAAGCCTTCAGACTGATCAGCAAAAACAAAACAAAACAAAACAAAAAGAAACGGGCTTGCAATGGAGCAATGATTTTTCTTTCCTCTAAAATTTTGCCACTTGACTTATATTAAATTCCGAATGGACCATTACCATATATAAAAAGTCTACTACTTCCCAAGCCTATGACAACGCCCTCCCAACGGCTACACTTTTTAAATAAAAAGCAATCAAGGACGGATGCACCAAGTCCCTTTCATTGCTGCCATCATTTCATTGCTGTTTCTGTGGTAAATTATCATCTGGACTTCTGCATATTGTTTATTATTTTGATATGAAAAAACCAAAAAATAAAAATAAAAAATTCACACATTTTTTGTTTTACTGAAAGATTACATTTTTAAAAAAAAATATATATATATATATAAGGGATACTGGGGATATGAGGAATCAAACTTGAGACCTCAGGTGCTAAGATAAATGCTCTTAACCACTTGAGCTACAAGTCTTCCTGTGTTTGACGAACCATTAAACAATTGAAGTAACTTACTGCAGCAAGAATAAACGTTTCATGAGAAAGAAGAGACAATGTATGGTTTTGGGAATTTTTTGAGAACCCGAAGTCATAGATACCGCGGTTTTTATAATATTTAGTTTTGTTGACCACAGCCCAACAAATGCTTGTAAAATTGCTCAAAAGAAAAATACGTGTAATGTTGGCATATAATGTCTTGGTACTTAGGACCTTTTCTTTATCCATGTATGGTTGGTTTTAATGTTTGAACTCTTCCCCAGCTGGTGTTATTGTTGTTTTGATAATTCACAGCTGGTGTTATTGTTGATCAGGTCAGACTTGAGACTTGAGAGATACAGTTTCTTGTCAACTTGGTTCGAAGTCGTTTCGCATGAGTAGCAAGTTTGAGAGGGATCAGAGGATCATCACCTGCTTCAGTACATAGTTCAATTATAGCTCACAGGTAATATAAGAGTTGACCCTTTTTGGGGGGCTTCTATTTTTTTGTTTGTGGGAAAAGTTAATAGTATGGTCAATGAAGGAAATAAGGGAAGCTCAGTGAATGATTCTTTTATGAAACCAGAAAGCAGTCGGCAGAATATAATAAACTCGTTCGAAGGTCAGGTGCTTGCAAGAAGTGAGGGGCAGCAGATGGAAGGAAGAGGGCTTTCTGACTTCTATAGGAATACAAGTGAGGAGTTGATCCTGAGATCTTATATGGAGAGCTCAGTTGCAACGCCTCTACCAACCATGGAGATGCTTGGTTTTAAGAATTTGTCTCAAAACTTTCGTACAGATAGCGAGGAGCTCTTCAAGAGCTGGCTCACAACTGGAGAGGCAAGCAGCCGTGTTATCCCTATATATTATTCATTGACTTAATTCTGGTTGACAGTTGATCATTCATCGGATGTCTGATAAAGTATCTAGCTTTGAGTCAGTTAAAATGGCATGTCATTCACATTCAAATACCATTCATTCCATGGGACTATGCTTCATTGTCTCTCATTTATGATTTTACTCTAACTTGGCAGAAATTCCTACTACAGAGCTTGATGAAACATTGAGCATTTGTTACATGGATTTTGATAAAAATCTGACTGGATATCTGAAAGATCCCAGCCCACTGATTTACTGACAGTTTTGCCCTATAGCATTTTTCGATAACTCTACAGTCTGATACTCAAGTCATTGGTTCACATACATTTAACAAATTCAATAGAAACTGGATGATATGGATTGATCTCCTAATCTGCTTTACCATCTAATATAACTTATCAACCAGCAGAAAAAATAAGGCTGCCAAAAAATAAATATGTGTAAGCACTTGTAGGTTTGGGCTCCTTCCTATACATGGCTTTCTATCCCATTCCTGATTGTCTTTTTTCTTTGATTGGCATATATCCTGTTCAGACCAATTGCTTCAACACATCAAGCATTGCACATCGTACTCGACAAGGATCACGGAGGTAAGTGGGTTGCAGTTCTAGCAACCTTTAAATGACAAGCATGTAAAATGTTGTTAGTTTCCAGACTGCAAGAATGTGGTACTTATATGGGTGTGTAATTGTTGATTCTTTAGCTAAAAATGATGCAGGGACAACATACTTAAATAATGAAGGGAAAGTGTTGATCTTGTATGTAATATCCATTAGCAGCTACCACAACAACAATGAAATTAATTCTCCTAAATTTACTATCTTTTAACTGAATTCTCATTACTTTACTTGAAAGTAAAGCGTACCAATAAAATCACTCAGATTCTATGTTCTGTTTCTAGTTGGTATAGGGTTAGTCTAGTTACCTCTTGTTTCCATGGATCTTAGACCCCTTATCTTTCATGAGGGCTTCCACTAAACATTGTTCTGCAATGTTATTGTAATTTCAAACTGCATAACCTCTGCAAGTAAATGTATGATGTATTTTTTATGATCATCGGTATGCCTCTGTTTAAATTTATTGCATACTAGATGAATATCTTGGTTGTAAAAAATGGTCTATCACGTTGATTTTTCATTGCACCTGCTGATTTATTCTCTCATTCTCTGAATTTTTTTTTACTACTTTTGAACTTCAAGATCTTGTCATCCTGATTTTCATCTTCTTGGTTTCCTTGCTCATAATTACTCCATACATCACAGGATATCTACTGAAATTGCTAGTTTGTCTGGTCAGCAACATATTGGTCTACTTCAAAAGAAAAGAAGCAATGATTGTTTATATCCACAAATTAATGTCATGCCTGACGAAATGTCTGGTGACAACAATCAAAATTCAATCAGGTGGCTACTGCTCCCTTCCAAGAAGTTGTCGTGTAACATATATGTGTATATAGTATGTGCCCCTTATGTTAAATTCCGGGAACCTTGAAAATGTTAAATTCACATTATGATTTTCTTTACATGGTAAACATTTGTCAAGATAAATATTCATTTAGTTTGGTCTCAATTTGTCAGGCATGGTGTTGAAAGAGGAATGCAGGCTAGTGAGTTATATTTGGCTAAGGCATGTTGATATTGATCCATTTCAGGATTTAGTTCAAGGATTCTTCATGTTATATCTAATATTTTACAATTAACGCAGGCCTGGTTTCACAGTTCTCAGCCTATGACAAGAAGCCGATCCTCTGAATTACGGTATTGTATATACATTTGTTAATAGATAACAACAGAATTTGAGTTAAAACTGTCTTCTGGAATCAGTTCACAATTGATTCTATAGAGTGTTTTCATGCCCTTGGTTGAGGCCTCAGTTGATGTTGTAAAAAATGTCAAGCCCTTTATTTTGGGATTTGGTTCTTTGACCCTTGGAAACCCATATAATATTGAATTTTTAAATTATTTTTGTTCCTTATGGAAACCATTGACACATAAATATAGAGTTTATTGGGATCTTCAGAATATCCACGTAGTGTTAGAATACAAAAATAAAGGTTTGCTGATATCCTAACAACTTAAGCTTGTAGAAATCATTAAACCTTGTAAATTATCTGTTCTACTTTGCTTTTATGGAGAGAACTGGCATCATCTCATTTCATTAAATGATTACATATTTGAATGACAGGAGGAGGTATGTTGCCATGCAAAATGCTCAAACTACAGTAGGTCTGGAAGGCCTGCAGACTGCTTCAGGGAATTGCCCCAATGTAGTTAAACAAGAATTTGCATTTTCGAATGCTTTCAATGATCCTTCTGTTTGTGAGGTCACCAATCAATTGGGGACCTTCATTTCTCCGTCCAATTCATCATCATCCACTTTCAACACCCCACAAATGAGTGACATGGATAAAGTTTCATCCGTGGTGAGCATGCTAAAGGGTACATTAGAGCGCAAAAAGCTTAGTAACCAGATTGAAAAAGAAGGTGTAGAAGATGATAGCTCCAATGGCCTTTTCTCTGCTCAAGAAATTATAGTCAACACTGGTTCTGATCAAGGGCAAGAGGATCGAATTCATGAAATGGCAGGAACATTTCAGGAAGTATCCACTATCCAAGTTAATAATCATAGAATTACACAAAACTTTGAAGGATCCCTGGATCTTGAGATGGAAGGTTTTGTAAATCTCAGAAACCCCAACCCTTTAAGCAGAAACTCTCAAGAACCTTCCCAAAGTGAATCATCTGCTGCTGCACCAGTAGTTTCATCTGGCTTTGATGCGTGTGATGGTCCCAGCAATTCAAGTCAAACACTGAATATTTGTAAAAGTTCAATGAAACGAGCTGGAAATAGGAGTTCAGAAAATGACTCTAGATCTAAAGGTAGTCATTTTACACAGTTGTAATAGATAACTGCATCTTTTCTTTTCTTTTTGCACTTCAATGGGACTCCTTGTACTTGTTTCATTTCACAAAGTACATGAAAGTTCGTACACATTTTCTGAAAGATAGATCATAAGCACACAAAGTAACTATGCCTGTGTAGAAGTTTCTGATGCATATACCAACCTTTCTTTCTTCCACCTTTATGTATAAAAACGTGTATATCATGAAGACATATTGGCAGGTCTCCTGTAAATTAATTGTGGAAAGCATTACTTTCAAATCTTTCAGGTATTTTGAATGCTGAAGCCCTTGCCAGAACAGAGTGTAGTATATATTAGTTCCTTCCATGCACAAAGTTAGACATTTATTTGATGTGGGATATTGAAACACAGCATTAAGCGTTTTTTTTTTCACTATTTTTCTTGAATTAGATATTCACTGCCTTTTCATGCAACTGTAGATTTCAGAGATCGGATAATTGGAAATTTGAAAGATGATCAAAAGGTATACTTTACTGTTGGGTTGTGAGTGTTGTTATGAAAATATGGTGCCAATATTCAAAAAATTTACTGAGTCCATTTTAACTGGACGTATTTCACAGAGGGGGGAGCGTTTAGATCGATATGGATCTGTGACATCAGCTGTTTCAGGTATGCTTGAAACTTCACCATCATGAATGTGGCTTTCCTCTTAAGATGCTGCATCTATAATTATAAAATAAAATAACTCTTTTGAAAAGATGCATTACTGTATTATTCAGAGTCATGGCATTCTCTCTAACCCAAAAAAAGGTTGTGCAGTGGACAAGGAGGATGCCACGAAAAAACGCAGGGTGGAGAGGTCACGCAAGTACGTACACTGATATCTACAATGGGGAAGAGTATTTCCTCCCTGGAACAAACTCTGTTCCTCAGAATTTGAGTTCTTTTTTTCCTTTCATTCCATTTTTGGCAATGGGAATAGATTCAGTTAATTGGCTAACCATTCAGTTGCAGTCACACAACACACATATCTGACATCACATGAAACATCATTCCATTTCACTAATTATTTGAAGTATTTCTCTTTCTTTCATTTTTACTGATTAGATGCAGGCGTAGGTTATGTTTAATGCATGAGTATCAAAGATTGTGAACTTTTATTAGGAAGTCTAGAGGATGAGAAGTTGAGGAGGATTGTATGTTAAGGTCAACAGAGCTGAAATAAAATCTTTAATTTTGTAGGCAACTATGAAAAGTATCTATAAAATGAGAACCAAAAAGAAAAACTATCTATAGAATGCTACATGTCTTAATATTTGTAGGCTACATGAAGCAATAAAAATTATGTAGAAAGTGCTACATGTCGTTTAGAGCTGCGACAGTTATATTTATCTGAAGTTTGTTGTTGATGTAGAATGGCAGAGGCAAAGGAAAGGAATTCAACTCCAGTAATTCCGTCAGATATACAATCTGTCTTGAAGCGGTGTGAAAATCTTGAAAAGGAAGTGCGATCCCTCAAACTTAACTTGTCCTTCATGAATAGGTAATGGAACAAATTAACTTATTTACTCAGAATTTTCCATTTTGATGTTTCCACGTATCGAGAATTTTCCATGAATTAATGCTTTTGTTTTGATTGCTAGAGACACTTCACGTTCCATCTGAGATATATTAATTAAATAAGTGTTGCATTGTTTCAGGAAGGATTCTGAGCAAACTAAGCAGATAGAGGAGCTGCAGAAGCAAAATGAAGACCTCACGGACGAAAAAGAGCGACTCCTAGAGGAGATAGAGAGGATCCTTTCAGAAACTGGCAAGATTTGAAAGTCCATCCTAGTTTTGCTAACTAGATTTCCCTCCTCTTTAAGATCCTGAGAATTTTGCAAAAGTTCAATTGGGGTATGTGTAGAAGATCCATGATCCTACCCTGATTGCAATGAACACAGAAAAATGTAATGCTTGATGCACACGTAAAGCATGGTTTGGTTTATTTTCTGAACTTAAGTTTGTGAATGTCAATCTGTCAGTTAACAAGTAAAGTCTATATATAGCTACTTTGTCTGGTAAAATCTAATGCGAGCAGTTTATTTGTAACTTCGGAAACTGTGGGAGTAGGGAAGACCAAGTTGCATTGTTTCAATACACTAATATGCTTGTTTTGTTGGAAAGGTGATTGTTCTCCTTACTTTAGTTGATTGTTCAAAACGATTCTCGAATCACAATGACTTCACCTCCCAAACTGTTTGCTACTTTGGCAAGTTCAACTCCCATGGCAAAGGAAGAAGAATCATAAAAGAAAGAAAGAGAAAAAGACTACAAACTTAAAAGAGAACCATAAGAAACTTGCGTAGTGTTGGTCTGACTTATTCATGACATGTGATCAACTTTAACTAACCACTTGAGTTCAGTTGCCTCCATCAGACTCATGATCCCCTTCTTTAATCTTCTTTACATAAATTAGGTCGTTCTGTAGAATTGCATGAGGTTAAGGGAATACCACAATAATGTCATATGACATCACTTGTTGTATATCCTCCTAGAGTGTATTCTTTGGCAGCAAAAAGGGTTCCTTAAAATTTATTAGGGGATTTAGAAATACGCACAGTGGAAGAATAAAGTGGGAAAGCATAACAAAAAACTAAACAAGTAAAAGTTTTTGATACCAAATATAAATAGGGTCTACCAAAACGAGCGCAATAACTAACATCCTTCACCTAATGAAGTGACCGGACCCAAAAGCCTGAAAATAAGGCCCAGAGACCCTTTATTTGCGCCTTAGGAGGCCCTCAGGATAAAGAGGCTGAACAGGCCCATTTTCACTCATGCAATCGGACCTAAAGGGATGACGCGTGGGCAACAACGTCCTCGGTGTACGCAGCGCCTGAGTACTTCGCCTAGAAACCCATGTTGCTCATATGGAAGGAAAAATCAGCCTATTTCACCCAAAAAGGAGAGACACACGTCTTTTTGCAACTCATTAGTCACCCAGAAGGTGCCACGTCACTAACCAACCTTCAATCCCACATCAAAACAACACGAGAAGTGGAGCCGACTCCCTTAGTATAAAAGAAGCGTACTTTTCAACCAAAAAGGTAATCTCAACTTCCTCCATACTTGAGTATAATACTTTTCATACCTCCTTTGAGGGAAGCACTTACTTAGGCATCAAAGGGTGGTTGGTAGTTCCTCCACCACCACTTTTCAATGACCACTCCTTGTCTTCTTGTAGGGATTAGCGTCTAGAATCTTACCCTTACTTGGCCACTCCAAGTGAGGTCAGAATACATCACCAAACACCATTGTCAGCTGAAGAATACTCTTGAGGGAGGGTTGACTAAGGCTAACTTCAACAAAAGTAATTTTAGAGATGTGAAGCCCGAACGCTACACATAGCTCCTACATAGACTTACTTAATAAAAATCTTTTCAGTTGATATGATACAAATCTATTTTGTTTGATTTATACAGTTCAAATGCGATCAAGAAGGTATTTATAGGAGTCACTTCATAATGATTGGATAATGTCACATACTTCTTTTAAACCTTTCATATTCATAACTCTTCATTCATGAACTCATATTAATAAGAGCAATGTGTCGTTTCCCCCCTTGAATTATGACCCTAATCGAACTTACCCCCCATGAACTAAAAAATATGCCAATTTAGCACCTAAATTAAATGAATTCGCTAATTTTTCCCCTCTTGTTAAATTTCAGATGATTTCATCCAAAGTTTCGTCAAAATTCACACATGGAATAGAATTGGAGGGTAATATAGTCATTCTAACACTTTCCCTACTGATCCTCATATTCCCTAATAGCTTGGCACCAAAATAAAAATATAGGAGTATGATAAGAGATTTTGAAGTTTCATGGGCCCTGTCCGATATTGTTGTGATTATAGCGTGGCAAGATATTGAAGTTTATTTTGTTGGTAAAGACATTTTTTTTCTCCGTCTCCTATTAACTGGGGACTTCCTTCCTTTGCCATTTTGGATAGATGGTGGTTGTTGTGGTTGACTGCTGGTCTGTTAGCAATTTTGTTGTAACTTTTTGTTCGGCAATATTGTAGTTTTTCTTTTCTTATAGTAGATCTAACCTTATCTGAAATGAAATATACACATATGCAATAGATCTAACTTTGAACGAATGAGAAGAAAGAAAGAGAGAAAACAGAGAATGAGAAGAAAACAAGAGAGAGAGGAGGAAGAAGAAGAGAAAGAATTAGAGAGAGGAAGAAGGGGAAAAGAGAAAGAGAAAGTTGTAGAAGGAAAGATGAAAAAGCCCGCGTGAGAGAGAGAGAGAGAGAGAGAGAGAGAGAGAGAGAGAGAGAGAAGAGAAGGAAGAAAAAGGAAAAGAAAGTGTATGTGCATTAGAATGACTATAACAGTTATGTCCCACATATGAGGCTCAAATGTGAATGTGGACGGAACTTTGGATGAAATCATCTGAAATCTAACGGTATATGTGAAATTAGCGAATTCATGTAGTTCGAGTGCTAAATTGGCAGATTTTTTAGTTCATGGGGTAAGTTCGATTATGGTGATAATTTCATACATATACATGCCCTATTTACTTAGTCCTTTTGCTTAGTTTCTTACAATTCTGAGTCATTTATCTCTCTTTGTGTGTTTTGTTGGTCAATAGAGCAAGAGAGCATAATTCAGGCAATTCAAGCATGTTAAGGCCTAATTTGGATGAATGAAAGAAGAGCTTAAAGACAAGCCCAATTTGGGGTACACTCCCTTGTCAGTCCAATTTCGTAGGTCACATTGCAAGCCTTATTTTAGCAACCTACACAGCTCAGATGAGGCAACATCCTTCATGGAAGTTGTGCCAATGGGTGTCTATTATAACATATCCAAAATCCAGCCCCATTGGATAAATATGGGGTCCGTCACCCATCAAACACAGAACCATGCTCAGGATGAATTTTTAATGCTCTACCAAATGAGTTAGCAATTTTTTCAGCCTTGACTTCTTCCTCCGACCTTGGATTGAGCCAAATGACATGTGGTTGAAAATATAACATTTTGACTTCAAGATGAAGGCTCAAAGTCATCATTTGCTTAAGGAAAGCCCAATCTGTGAGCCTATGAAGTTGTTGGTCATGCTGACCTAAGGATGAGCTAAGTGTGCTTGGTCATTCTGACCTAAGTATGAGGTGATTTTTGATGGTGAGGAAGTTAGGTGAGCTAATTCAAGTGGAGATTTCCAGCTGCCAAAAGAAATAAAGATGATGAAGTGGGTGTTGTTGATGAACTAATTTTCAATTACATTGGTGTGTTAGGTGAAGTGGGTGTTCTTGGTAAACTCAATAGTATAATCTGATTTCACCTAAATCTTGTGCCTATAAATAGAGAGTCTCCAAAGAGCTGAGGGGAAGAATTCATATTCCAGATTTTATACTTACATTGTACACAAAGAGGGGAGAGTTGAGAATCACAAAGGGAGAGAAGAGAGAAGGCAACAGTTGGGAGGCTTTGGCCTCCTAGCAACCATGGGAATGAAGTTTTTCCATCTCTAGCCTGATGTCCCTAGCTTCTTCTTCTCCCTTTTCCTTTTAGTTTCTTCTTGTATTTCCATAGTTTTACTTTGTTTTAATAAACACCATGATGATTTTAAGTTTTTGAAGTTTGATTGGTTTCCAAGTTTCAATTTTAGTTCTTGTTCTTATTCATTATGCTTATCAGTTGATATGCTTGTTTGAATGTTTGATCACTATTTAAACTTGTACATTAGCTATCTTAGTTGGAATTAAGAGTAGACACCATATGCCTTAATTCCAATTGAACCATGAATAGGAAGAGTATGTATGGACATTCGAGAACAAGGATTATATACATGCTTGGTTGTTTAAAATGTTTTCCTATGCTTAATGGATTTCTAATGCTTAATTTAGGTTCGACAACAAGGATCTAATTAGGGAATTAGGAATACAGGGTTTAGACCAGACACCATGGCTAAATTATACATTAGAGAGAATCAATCTTTTTACTTGAATTGAACTTCTTAACTTGATTGCTTGAAACAAAGAATTGAATTGTTCCCTAGTATTCTTGTCGCAATCATCTTTAAACTTTGTTTCCATTTCTGTTTTGGGCAGGGAATTGAATTAAATCAATCTATCATCAATCCTCGTGGGATCGACCTCGCACTTACACATGCTATACTACCCAACGGCTCGTGCACTTGCGAGTATCACAAGTTGAGGATGCAGCTAAAATCAATTTTGGCGCAGCTAAATCCGACACCAACAAGTTTTTGAGAGGGGAGAGTTTCTTACATTTACATGCCCTATTTACTTAGTCCTTTTGCTTAGTTTCTTACAATTCTGAGTCATTTACCTCTCTTTGTGTGTTTTGTAGTTCAATAGAGCAAGAGAGCATAACGGGGACAAGATGAAGGATGTCGAAAGTTCAACCGTAGCTAATGATGAACTTTTGACAGTTACGGAGGAACATAACGGGGACGTTGTGGCAAGTTCTTCGGGTATGGGTTCTACTTCAATTTGGATTTTAGATTTCAGATGCTCTTATCATGTGTGTTCAAATAAGAGTGTATTTGATACATATGAGGAAAGGAAGGGTAGCAAGATTTCGTTGAGGGACAAAACAAGTTGTGATGTTTTGGGAGTGGGAATAGTGAAGATCAAGATGCATGATGGTGTTGTTAGGAGCCTTAATAAGGTAAGGCATGTACCGGTACTAAGAAGGAATCTTATTTTCCTTGGCTCTCTAGATAGATAAGGGTATTCGTACAAGGCCAAAGAAAGGAATCTCTTAGTCACATAAGGTTCAGTGGTGATTATGAAGGAAGAGATTCAACCTAGCAACTTTTATCAGCTTTTCGGGGGAAAGAAAGTTAATCAAGGTTGTATAATTAACAGTTTATCATCAAAGGTGCTTGATTTCAAAGGTGTAGAAGTGGCGAAGTCAAATGACAAGGTCCACAAGGGTGAAGTCAAGACAAGGGATGATGGGGAGAATGTTGTTGGGTCG